TCTTGAAATCCAAAATATCGTTGATCCAATTTGTTTAGGTTTGTGACCCAACATGATCATATAATATTAGTAGTTTTTCAAACTCATAGATTATAATCGGTCTTTAGCAAAACATTATAACCACCAAATATTACATGATTGTCAAACATCGATATTACAACTTTAACTAGAGCAAAGTACAAATGATTTCGAGATACTCCCAATAATCTCCCACTTGTACTGGAATCATCTATTCCGGTAATCCTTTTGTCTCTATATCTCGATCTTAGCATAAAGCAAGAAACTGTGTCATCCTTATCAAGCTAGATCACGTTTATCGAACTCCGATTTATACTGATTAAACAAACGACTGACATTCACCTCGTTTGAGCACGACCACGCATTTCTTAGTATCAAATATTTGATAGGTCCAGAGATATCTATCTCCTGTTATATAGGAGGGACAAATCCTACTTTGTTCCATCCATGTTCCTTACACAATTCATAACCCACCCAATCAATGTCTTTATAATCACCTTTTACGGCCGACGTTTGATAAAGTCAAAGTGAACCAATTCATGTGTAAGAAATCATGACGAACTCAGGTCAAAGGACTATACTCTATAGTTTTGATGAGAAACTCTTATAACACTCATATAACAATCTTGTAAAGTTCTCATAACGGGTCATTCCGATATTGTGTTCTCCAATACATATCTATGTGATTGGCTTTAATACCACATATCAATGACTTCACGAAACTTAGTCATCAGTCACCTCACATACTAGTCATTTATAGTTATTAATGTACCATAATAATAACGTTGACTAGGGACATCAATAACTTATTTTATTCAAGGTCGACAACATTTGCATCCATAAACTCTGCTAATATATATAGCTCAATCTTTGCTATTGAGTATGCCATAATGCTCTGCTTAGAACTCTTCCCGCTCACTGCTCCTCCATTAAAACAAAAAAAAATCCATAGTGTGATCGAAAATCATCTTTATATGTTTGAAATCTGGCATATGTGTAACCACTCACAACAAGTTCCTTATTTCCTCCATAGACCAAGAATTTATCTTAAGTTCTTCTCAAGTACTTAAAGATATTTTTGACTATTATCTAGTTCACGTGAATCAAACTGGTATTTGCTCGTCATATACTCAAAGCACACACAACATCTAGACGAGTAAAAAGCATGACATACATGATAAATTCTATAGCATAAGCATGTGGAATCTTACTCATGCGTTCTCGCTCATCAGGTATCGAAGGACAGTGAGGCTTGCTAAGAGTTATGCCATGAGACATTGGTAAAAAGTCTTTCTTAGAATCATATGCATATTGAACGTATGCAAGTAAATCAAACGTCTTTACAAGAATCAATTTGTGAGTTAGGAAAAAATTGGTACAAAGTCAGCAAACTCTCGTAGCTTCTCTCACCAATCGCAATCCAGTGGCAAATATAGAACAGGTGGCAGCGGATCGTGTTATGGGATGCCAAGCCTTGGTCGAAAATCGA